CCCCCCCCCCCCCCCCGAAAGTATTTAATAAAACATTGATTTTCCACCCCAACAGACTTACCAGCCAGACACTGCTCTCCAAGGTGCTGGGCTGCATATCGGCATTTGGATCAGTCGATGTGGTTCATTAATAATCAGCCATTGGTATTGGCCCCCAAAAAATCTTTATTGTTGCACCCCTACTTGCACCTAAGCACCATCTTCTAACTTCTTCCTTTTGTCCCCAATTCTCCTACACAAACAAGTTGCCATATGACACCTCTACGTAAGATGCATTCTGTAAGCTTCTTTACTGATGTCAGTGCTGCTCTGTGGACTGTGCCAGTTGCCTAAACTCACACTTCTTCTGCACACCCAGTTTTCAACAGCCCAGGAGCCAAAACCCAAGCTTTTATTTCCATCTCACAAAAACAGTGAGATGGAAAAAGTAAAAAAAGTAGAGGCAAGGTAAGTAGAAGTTAGTTTCCTTTTAGTATTTAGACAGGGACTGGTTAAGCTTTTTATCAAGAGCCGTTAACTTACCATCTCCTTGCACTGTGGTTATAAGGTGCCCATCCAGATAAACATCTACATTGGAAAGGTAGGAGGAAGGACCACGATCGACAACAACTTCATTTAGGACCTGGCATGACACCAAACCAGTTAATTTTTCTTTTTGCCTGACAAGAAAGTAATTGCCAAGGGACAAGTAACATATGTTTATGAAAGTTTCACCCCAATCTTCACCAGCTTATCTTGGTCTTTGAGTTGCTATATAATCCTGTCTTGGTGATCACCAGTAGAAATAGTTACTTGGTGCTATGGATAAAAATATATTTTCCAAAAGCAAGTTGCTGATGGTGCTAATAGGATTCCCCCTTTGGTTATATCCACCAGCGAGACATTCAATTGTAAAGGCCATTGTAATCAATTTACTCGTTTCAAAATACAAGAAAACATCTGGTACAGAGCAATATATAAACAAAGTATTATGATTATAGCAAATGCTATGTTATACAATACACCCTTTTCTTTATGGCCTATTTAGGAAATTACCTGGAAGCAATATAGAAAGTGTCATAATACTGGGTTAACAGAATATGATGAAAAAGAAGAAAAAAAACTTGAAAAACTTGAGTGTAGGATGAATTATTTCTTAGTTCTTTTGCTCATTTTCCATTTTACACTCTTCTGGCTCTAACCTGATATTGCATGATTTGCTTTCCCACTTCTTTCTCTAGACTTGTAGGCACCATTCCATTTTCTTCTATACCATTTTGTATCATTTTCTTCTCTCTGTGCTCCTTTACTACTCTCACTTTCAGCCTGCTCCGCAAAACAAGTGCTGCATTGCCTGCAATCCAAAAGGAAGGAAAGGATGAAACCCACACATGCACATACACTACAGTAGTACCTACTATATTATAAGCAACTTTACTATTTTCACAATAAGTTACTAACAAACTGTTATGAAATGATCTCCACTTTTCACTTGCTCAAATTTTCCTTACGTTTTTTACAACAGAAGGTTGTGGGCTTAACTTCCCCTCAAAACTGAAGTTGGGTGGGAATGAAAAAGACAACTTTAAGTAATGCAAACATATAAACCAACTACCCCTTTGAAAATTCAATGAGAATCTTAAAGCTTTATGTGCAAATGACCTATAACTGCTCAAGTCAGAAGCTAGGCAGTTGATTTGTTTGATAATCCTCACTGATACTTATGTAAGCTTGGCATAAAGAAACCAGTTAATTTTTATAAATTCACAAAATATCAATTTAGCAACATCAGACTTACATTAATGCTTTTTAATTACTTAATTATACAACAGGAATAGCTTTATACCAAGGTGACAAGTTATAGCATTTTTTTTCCTTCTCTCAAAAAGACTTCAAATACCAAGAACTAGTTTAAATGCACATTCAGGTTAGAAAACCAGCACTCGAGAGTCAAGGTTTCCTATTCAGTGAGAACTCACACAGCACGTAATTTTTCCGATTCTCCATGTCAACTGTTTATGAAAATGCCAAAAACATATGTAAACTATGCATTAACTCAAAAAAAAAATAAAGGAAGAAAAGAAAAGAAAACCTGGAACATTTAGAAGTTTCCTGATCATTGTAGGTCCAATTTCCTACTACTTTAATGTGATAATGTTCACAGGAACAGAGAAGTTAGGTCATTAAGATCTTCCAGTACCAACACTCCTAAATTGTTACATTGTGTGTGGGTCGATGAGTACACCCACATTATTTCCCTGATATTTCCTTACATGCTACAAGCACAAGGCCATCCCAACTTTATAAAACAATGTAAAAAACAATACTGCAATAAATCACTGCAGAATCAAAAGGACTGATTTTAGACAGTTCAGTTGCTAAAGGTAACTAACAAAACAGGAAGAGAACAAGCCTTTTAAAAGTTGCAAAGATAATCTTCTATTTTTACTACAGTGGAAAAAAATTCTTACCTTCTATAACCTGAGTAACTTGGGACTGAAAGTTCTCAAAGTTAAATGGAGTAAGAAATCCAAGAGATCCAAGATGAAAAGCCATAACTGGAGGTACACTACCCTGTCAAAAGGAAAAATTTAAAAGTTGTTCAGTGTTACACAACTAAAGCATGTGTTATCCCTGTTCTTTTTATGTTTAAGTAGTACCATAACAACTTGTCTGCAGATATCCTAAATGTGCTCAACAACAATTATGTGCAAAAATAAAAACAAAGATGGAATTGGCAATGCAGGGATGCTCAACACTGTCCTGAGGGTCAGATCAGGTCCCTGGTGCTATGTACTCTGGCCCATGGGGCTTCTCACAGATGTCGTGGGGAGCCCTCAGGCGGCAGGGTATGCTCCTGCACGCTAGAGGTGGGGTGTACAAGGCAGCACAGTGCCTAAGCTGGGCAGGGGCAGTGCTGAGTCCTGCACTGCTGCGACTGGGCATCAGGAACCCATGCTGTCCCACACACCAGAATCAGGCCTCAGGGTCTTGTGCTGCCCCAACCTGGCCAGCTGAAGGCGATGTGAGGACTTAGGGCCTGATCCCAGCGCACAGGGCCCAAAATGGCTCATTGTCTGGTGTGGGGCCAAAAACTTGAGCACTACTAACCTAAAGAGCTTTTATAGTGGAGGAACAGAGAAAGGTGGCTAGCCAGAAAGGTCTGAACAAGTAAGGAGAAAGCTTGCAAAAAATCTTCAAGACTGACTCCTGTGCAAAGTTCTGGCTGGGAAGAGCACCTCAAATAATAAACATTTATTTTCTATAGAACTAACCTGGAAAAGTGAAGAAGCATAAAGTAAGGTCCCATCTCCTCCTAGGCATATGATGAAGTCTATCTGATTGGAGATATCATCATAATCTAGAGGACAGCATTAAAAGGTTAATTTACATAACTTAAAGATTTCAATTTACACATGTAAATTTGGTGCAGCACACTAACGTTAATTTAGAAATGGAAATAATGAACAGACCATCAAAACAACATCTGCTTGAGTTTATCAAGGATAGATTTCAGAGAAACTTGATTCATCTGAACACATCACCAGGGAAACCAGAAGATGAAAAGGCAATATATCAGAAATTCAGTTTTAAAGAAGCATTACTCTACCTTCGCTGAAAGTGCAAAATTTTTTCTTCACTGGTCCAAAATTTTCATCATGAGCTATGGCTGGGTCTTCTAATACTTTCTTTTCTACATAAACTATCATGTTGTTCTCCTAGAAGAAGAAAAAAGATTTACTAATAAATCCTTTAACAATATAACACCACATGTGATGCTTCCATCAGTATTTGATACTGGTTTAAAACGCTGTGATTTTCACAAGTGCTTTTCAGCTTCTATATGTATTGTTAAAACGTACAGCAATTATTACTGTATTTTATTAATGAAACTGTCGTACAAAGGTCACATAATAAAAATTAACTAGTCTTTGGAAACTTAACTATGCTCCTGTGACACAACCATAATTCCAAATTAGCTAATTATTTTCTCAGTTTAATGGAATAAATATTTATCCTCATTCTGTATTAAAACTGCAGAATAAGACCCTTCATATAATATGCAATGAGAAGGGTAGTTTTCTTTAAAGGGAAACTACGCTGAGCTCATTTAGCAGGAAAAAAAAGACTGGTTCCACGCTGAGTTTTGCAATCAATCATTTCTATTGTTTTCCATACATTTGGACTCATTCGCCATATACAATTCTACCTCCATTTATAATTAAGCTAGAACAGCAAGTAAGAACATTTCATTTAAACTTAAGCACCAAAAGCTCTGATCTCTCCCAAGCAGTATTACCTCAGTAAGATACACGCACAGTTCTTTAAAGGGCTGTAGCAGACTAGCATCACGAATCTTTTTGATAACAAGGACACTCTTGGGAGGTTTGTTCCATGTCAACCGCTGGCTTGCTGGATCCTGAATGTGCCTATGGACAAGAATCCAAAGAATAAAAGCTTTATCTGAAAAGGTGGACCGTGTTAAAAATCCCCTGACCACATTTTGTCATTAAAAAATAGAAAGCAAGTAAAACATTAAAAATATTAAACACAACACCTTCGTATTGCCTAAAATGCAGCGCTTTTCCAACTTTCAGCAAATATTTTGCTGAATTTTGCAGCGGGACTATTCTGGTTCAGTCTGTACGGAAATGCAGAATGCTTTTAAAAAAAATTAGAGATCCAGGATACAGTTCAATTTAGTTTATAGGATTATTAATAATACATGTATACACACAATTTTTTTTTTTTTGAGTCAAACAGTGCTAATCTATACAGGGTTCTGACTAGATGGGTATTCTAAAACAAAAATGGTTTACTTCCGAGTATACAAAAGCTTCCCCGTTGGGTTGATAAACTCACATTATATTGATAAAGGTGTCCATTCCTGCAGCTGCAAACACGCTAGTCATGTTCATGAACAGGGGCTCTAATTCTGCCAGAATCATTGTAACAGCCACCAAGACACTTCAACTACTAGACCACTGCCTTAACACGGGTAGCAGTGGTCCTCCCCTCACCCTTTCATGGAGGATGACTCTATTTGGTCTGCTTCCTTAATAGCATAAAACATCCAATTAGAGAACTTGAAAAAGCAGCAGCATGAAAAATCTATGTTTTTCCTTCAACACCAATATAAATTAAACATTCATCTTGAGTCTATGTTGGTATAAGGAAGGGGAGAAACAGTTTTATCTCAATTCATTCTTTTAAATATACGTCTCCTAGTAAGTTCATGGAACCAGACCTAGTTTCAGCCAGAACCTGTTTTCTGCCAAAATTAAGACATTCTGTGGGTGCAGGATCTCTCAACTGCACAGTTTTTCTTCAGACAAATATAGCTAACTTACTGTCAACAACAGTAATGAGAGGCAGAAAGTATTACTTAAAAAAAAAAAAAAAAATCAATAACATTCTTAATATGAAATCATATTACAATCAAAAGCATCATACATTATGCAAGGAAATTTTTTTAACTCTGGTCTGGAAAACTCCCAATGCAAACATTGCCTATTTCCTCTTCTGTGATACTGCAATGGTGCTAACAATAGTTAACATATCTAAATAGCTTACTGAGAAATAAAAGCTACCAAACTCATTGTATTCTTTGATAAAAGTAAAATCAAAGCCAAGTTAAGACTTCAGGCACATCTTGGCACATAAGTACACGTTCCCCTTTTGGTACAGAGTAACAACAACAACAACAACCACCACCACCACCTCAACATTAAAAAATGGAAAGGACACACTAAACAGGCTTAACTGTGCCAACACAGAACAGAGGAAAAAACATACCAATTTAGTTATCCTCAAAGGGCGCTTTTTGAACGCAGATAAAACCAAAGAAGTGCCACCACCACCACTTTACTTCCCACATCTAAAAGAGCACCTAAATAAAGTACGTCAATACCTGGTGAAATCTGAGTTGTCACACTGGCAAAAATAGATTTTTTATTGTTATTTTATTTTCAGGTTATTGAATTCTCTTCAAAATTCCATATAAATTATAATTACAAGCTCATATTGCTTGCTATGAATTTAAGGGCAAAACAAGCAAACAAAAAAATTAATGTAATAATGCAACCTCAGCTGCAACCATATCTATGAAGCAACACTTATTGTTCTATAATCAGTCTTGCTGATTTGAAAACATGCAACTGCTTTTCTGCTTTACTTAACTTCTTAAATTACAAACTTTCAAAGCTAAGCAAATAATTTCTTACTTGTAATTAGTGGTTTATAAGCATCTCATTTTTTCCCATGTGCTGTTGGTATAATCCATGTAGAAAAGAGGATTACTGCAAATGCTGAACAAGCTAAATTCACAAACAGATTTGGAATCGCCTTCCACTGGCAGTTTGAGAGTTAAGAAAAAGTAGGGATATTTTACTGTCACTGCCTGTTCCAACCTGCAGAGTGGCAGTTCCCTGAATTGTAAGAAAGCTGAAGAGATCAGCTCGCTATAAAAGTAGAGCTGCTTGTATATATATTGTATGTACAAATATAGCGCTAACTAAAGACTATAGAGTAATACAGAAGCCCCAAACGTAGTCATTGAAACAAGACAATATTGTATATTTTCTTATGCACAATGACAAAATTTCAGGGGAACACAGGGATTGGATTTCAGCTACATCCATGCCCCTCTAAGACCCTAAGTTTCTTTTCTTTTTCATACTGCATTTAATACTGAGCCTCAGAGATCACCATGCAGTAGGACTAACATGCACTTGGAAACCCTCGCCGGTATCCTAATCAAGCTATTAACTGTAGTAGAATTAAACCCCTGAAAGTGCTGCTTTGAAGATCTACATATGAAAAAGGAACTACACAAGACAGAAAGTTACAGATAGTGCACCCAAGATTAATATTTTATTGCTGCAAAAACAAGAGCCAAAGAAAGTGGATTCAAATTTCACAAGCCATTTTCAATATTAATGACCCCTAAATAAATTGCAGAAGAAAAACAATACATGAGTTTGCAGAAGTTTTACATGCAGACCCCTGTACCAAAAACAAAAAGCATGAGAAGAAATAAAAAGGCTTCCGTGTAATCATGGTAACTCCCTGCTAACTTTAGGAACTAAAGGTTGTATTAACACTATTTCACTTAGTAATCTGAGAACACATCAAAACTAATACAGACTTTATTCAAACCCCGCCTCCCCACAAACAACTTGCGTTTATTATGCTGTACTTACCACTTCCCTGTAGTTCTATTAAAGTAGAGATTATTCATAACATGCTCAAAGATCTTCATGATTTATTTCAAAAAAAAAGTCAGGCAAGTTAAAAAAAAAAAAAAAAAAAAAAAAAAAAA